ATGTATAATAATGGTGACTGTGGTGAAAGTAGTGGTGATAATGGTGGTGCAGATGCTGGTGGTGGTGATAATATTAACGATCACCACGACGCTGGAATGCACTGAAATGGATGCGCTTTGGCTACTATCACGCAATGTCTAGTTCCCCGGACTCTCAGTAAAAAAAAAAGGCTTATATTTCACATTCAATTTCTTTCCTCGAACGTCCACACACCATCCCGCTTTCCCAATAAACACCACGTCACCCTGCCTTGACTCCCCGTCATCCTCCTCACCAAACTGCGAACGACAATGTAATCCGAAGACGTAGGGTGGGAGGTAAAGAGAGAGAGAGAGGGGGGAGTGGGGGGAATCCATCCATCTCAAAACTCGAATGGATGAGTGGATGAGCAAGAGAACTATGAAAATATCTAATCCAAGGGTGTCATGGGAGGGAGGGAAGAAGGGAAGGGAAGAAAATCCAAAGCACACTCACTTACCGAATAGGAATTTCCATGACATAAAAAATAAAAATAAAAATAAAAAAAACAATACCGGGAAGGATGTACAAATCAAGGGTCAACTGTGTAAATAACTGGTCTTGAAGAAGAAGGAAAGAAAAGGTCATAACGAAACTGAACGAGAATTTGGCTAAACAAAAATAAACGTCCACAAAAAATAATGACTAAGATCTGGCTAAAAAAAATATCAAAGAGTAAAGATTATGAAGAGGCCGCCAAGCAAAGAAAAGCGTCAATAATACAACATTGCACTTCTAACACACAAATTCAACCCGAGGAATTCCTGCTAAAACAGCACGACCAAAATGTCTGGACCAAGTGGTTGCCATCCAATAGCAAAGGTCAAAGTATCACAGCGGGGCTAAAATGTAAACAATGCGCTGCCACAACGTGTTCGGCGGCGTCCTTGCCAGCCAGCGCGGAGTCGGCGAACAAGGCGTATTTCTTTATTCAGACAGATGGATCTAGGTAAGTACAGTGAGGGTACACTCAAATTTAAAAACAAGATGAAAAAATTGAGTGCCTACAAATAAACCCCCACAGACTAATAATAAACCATGACTGGCTCTAAACTCAGCTGGGCGTTAAGTCATGATACGACACGGGATCGCCCCCCCCCCACTCTCAAGGAATGCAACTTGCAATACCAATGTGCGGTCGACGCTTGCTAGAATGCGTACCATGGCTATCTGACAGAGATATCTTGATCTTACCGAAGCAAGGCCGTCCAAAAAAAGAAGAGGAAAGGAAAAGCAAAAGCGGTGATTCACCCATCGCTTCTTCCAAGCTCCGCCATCCACTCTTACACGGACCTACGACCGGAAGCTTCCTTTACGTCAAAAGAATACCAAACCATAAAAGGAGCAGCCACGAAGAACAAGAGAAAGAACAGCAACGGAGACAACAACATTCACTCCAAAGAGCGTTGCCATCTCCCTCGTCCACTTTCAGAAGCAAGGAACAACCACCGCCGGGGATGGCAAATCACCGAACCCGGGGACCGAATGCACACCCTCTCGCCCACGGTATCTTTCTGTCATTCGCCCGAGGTTTAACTCAGAAGCGTTCGGTCTACAAGGCAGAAATTATCCTGCTCTGTTCTGTTCTGTCTGTTTCTCTGTCTCTCCTCCTCCCTCCCTCACACTCACTCACTCTTTCTGCTAGGGAGACGCAACTGTATGGCAAAACTTAACGAAGATAAATTTATGTGAATATCATAATATTTGGTCTAAAGGGGGGAGAGAGAGAGAGAGAGAGAGAGAGAGAGAGAGAGAGAGAGAGAGAGAGAGGGGGGGATACAAATTATATATATATAATATACACATATTTTTTTTATATATAATATACGTATCTATATACATTTTTTTTTCAACAGCCATTCATTCCACTGCAGGACATAGGCCTCTCTCAATTCAGTTGAGAGGTTATCTGGCGGTGTCACCGTTGCCTGATTGAATGCCCTTCCTAATCAACCGCAGTTCGGCGCGTGAACACTTTTGCCACGGCGGTGACTTCCCCTACGACACCTGCGTTTGACTTCTCAAGCCGATATGTCGTTTTCTCGGGCTCGAGGTAGCAGTCAGAGCGCAGGCATTTTTTACAACTGCCGCGATGGGGAATTGAACCCGGGACCACGAGGGTGGGAGTCCAGTGCTCTAACCACTGAGCTATCGCGGCATTTATACATATATTTATATATATATATATATATATATATATATATATATATATATATATATATATATAATAATCATATATATAATATATTATATATATAATATATTGAATATATATATTATATATATTACATATAAGGATATTATATTATATTATACATATATATGTGTGTGTGTGTGTGTGTGTGTGTGTGTGTGTGTGTGTGTGTGTGTGTGTGTGTGTGTGTGTGTGTGTGTGTGTGTGTGTGTATATATATATATATATTTACATACTGCATATGAATAAATAACCCGTCTCCAGCGACGGGGTCTCGACGTACTCACCTGCGAGAGAACGGAGATGTGGTCCACGTAGTACTGGTCGGCCTGGTGCTTGGTGAAGCGGTTGCACAAGCACGACTTGCCCAGGCCCGTCACGCCCTTCTCCCTCTCGCCGCCCGACACGCCCACCACAGACACCACCACCTGCTTGGCCGCGTCGCCGCCCCGCCGAGCCATGCCCACCCACACCACGGGGCCCTCACGCCCGCGTCAGCCCAATTTCTCACACGCCCAATATACCCATCATGTAAGCAGGAGCACAGCTGGTGACCCACCCATGCCTGCTCAAGGGGCGGGCGCAGAGAGCATAGCTAGGGCTTCGAGAAAAGCAACCTCTCGCGCCCACGACCCGTCACGCACGCCTCCTCGCACTCCACCCGTAGGCGGTTATAGCACTGCCCCGCCCGTGTGCTCCCCTCGCTCGTCACGCGCCCGTGCACAACCAACATTCACAACCACCGGTCACTCACACGAGGCCTCGAGAGCCCGGCGCAGCTCGACACTTTCTCACGGGGCTTCGTCGGTTCCAAACACATATAATTCACTATAAATCACTATTCATTTTTCTGCTTCACTTTGAGAACACGGAACTTTGGATCATGGGTTCTGAGCACAACACTTGGTAGGGAGACTGGGGGCGTCAGGAGGGAAGGTGGGCGTACACTAAGTGGGCGTGGGTTTTGCAGGTCGCCCTGCCGGCGGGTTTAGTCTATCCACCAACAGCCATCACAGTATCTGTAACACAAAAGAAAATACGTTAGTTACAAGACACAGACGGGTATGTCATACAATTATAATTGTTAATAAATCTACGCAGCAGTCGCGCCATATTTCACTACAAGAAAAATGTTACATTCATATAAAATATGCGCTCTCCACCGCGAATGCAATAAAGCACAATGAAAATAATTTCCAGAATCATGAAAAAAATACTGTATCAATACATGTACAAAGATCTTTGGAGGAGACCTGATGGCAGGGACGGCAAGCCACTCGTCGGTGAACACTAACAACACACACAAACAAAGAGACGCTTGTGCGTTTATTTGTTTTTGTCCTTTCACCCCACTTCACTTTTCTTTATTCTACCTAAAATGTACCTCCCTACCTCCCTCCCTCCCTCCCGCCCTCTCCCTCTCTCTCTCACCTTTCATTCTTTCTCTCTCTTTCTTTCTTCCTTCTTACTCTCTCTTTCTTCTTTCTTTCTTTCTTTCTTCCCTTCTCTCACCTACTATCTCTCACATACACATACATACATTGAGAGAGAGAGAGAGAGAGAGAGAGAGAGAGAGAGAGAGAGAGAGAGAGAGAGAGAGAGAGAGAGAGAGAGAGAGAGAGAGAGAGAGAGAGAGGGGGGGGGAGAGGGAGAGAGAGAGAGAACTACTAGGGAGAGAACAACAAGATACAGAGAGAGCGAGACAAAAGAGGGAGACAGACAAAAAAAAAAGAGAGGAGAGAGATTGCAACAGACAAAGAAGGCCAGGAGACGGACAGACGAGGGCCAGGCAGCGAGATCTTCGGGCGCCTCCCTCGAGGACGAATTCCCCCCCCCCTCCCTCGAATTCCATCTCGGATTAAGTACCGTCTGGATCCGCGTTGCACCGTGCCTGAGGTAACCTTTGAGTGTATTTGTATCCTAATAACATTGCCCCGACCAATTTCTTTCCTTCTCCGCCTCCTCGTTTTTCTTCCTTTATCTGTTTCTCTTGTCTCGGTTAATCTCCTTCTTTCCACGCCGTTTATCTTACTATGTTTTTTTCCTTGGCCAATCTGCATCTTTATGTCTTCAAAATATTATCTCCTAATCTATCTTTACCTTTTAATCACTATAAATCTGTGTGTGTTTGTGTGAGTGAGTGAGTGAGTGAGTGAGTGAGTGGGTGAGTGAGTGGGTGAGTGAGTGAGTGGGTGAGTGGGTGAGTGAGTGGGTGGGTGGGTGAGTGAGTGAGTGAGTGAGTGAGTGGGTGAGTGAGTGAGTGGGTGAGTGAGTGAGTGGGTGAGTGAGTGAGTAAGTGTGTGTGTGTGTGTGTGTGTGTGTGTGTGTGTGTGTGTGTGTGTGTGTGTGTGTGTGTGTGTGTGTGTGTGTGAGTGAGTGAGTGAGTGAGTGAGTGAGTGTGTGTGTGTATGTGTGTGTGTGTGTGAGTGAGTGAGTGAGTGAGTGAGTGAGTGAGTGAGTGAGTGAGTGTGAGTGAGTGAGTGAGTGAGTGGGTGGGTGGGTGAGTGAGTGAGTGAGTGAGTGAGTGGGTGAGTGAGTGAGCGAGTGAGTGAGTGTGTGTGTGTGTTTGTGTGAGTGAGTGTGAGTGAGTGAGTGAGTGTGAGTGAGTGAGTGAGTGAGTGAGTGAGTGAGTGAGTGAGTGTGTGTATGTTTGTGTGAGTGAGTGAGTGAGTGAGTGAGTGAGTGAGTGAGTGAGTGAGTGAGTGAGTGAGTGGGTGAGTGAGTGTGTGTGTGTATGTTTGTGTGAGTGAGTGAGTGAGTGGGTGAGTGAGTGGGTGAGTGAGTGAGTGAGTGAGTGGGTGAGTGAGTGAGTGAGTGAGTGAGTGAGTGGGTGAGTGAGTGAGTGAGTGAGTGGGTGAGTGGGTGAGTGAGTGAGTGAGTGTGTGTGTGTTTGAGTGAGTGAGTGAGTGAGTGAGTGAGTGAGTGAGTGAGTGAGTGAGTGAGTGAGTGAGTGAGTGAGTGAGTGAGTGTGTGTGTGTGTGTGCGTGTAAGTGCGTGCGTGCGTATGTGCATGCGTGCGTGCGTGCGTGCGCGCGTCCATGCGTTCTCTCTCTCTCTCTCCCCTGTTTGCCAGTGTTTGCATAATCTTTTGTCCTTACAGTCTTCCTTTCTCCCTTTCCCCATGCCTTCTCCCTTCCTACTTCATTTAGCTCACTCACACGGAGCACTTTCCCTCTTAAATATCCCTTACTTTCGCTTCATCTTTTCATTCTACGTCTCTCCCCCTTTGCCTACGCCTTCCCTTTGCCATTTCAGAGTTAATCCCGTCCCTTCTCTTCCTACTGATTCTCCTTTTGCAAGCGTGCCCTTTTTCATCCCACCTCTTCCTTCTTCAAGATCTCTTCCTTTCCCATGTCTATTTGCCATCGTCCCTCTTCTTCTTCCCTAGCCTCTATTTCCTTTTTTCTTGTGTTATCTATTCTTTACCTCCTCCTCCCCATTCCCCATCATCCACTCCCATTCTATATACTTGTCTTCAAAGCACCACCTCTCCCGCTCGCTCTCTTTTTTCCTTGCCGTTCTTCTTTGTTTCTGTTTTCCTCTCCCTTATGTCCTTTCGCCTTTCCTCTCCCTTCTTTCTATTTTTCCAATCTCCCTTTTTCTATCTTCCCTTTCTTTCCCATCCCTTTCCTTATTCCTCTCCTTTTCTTCTTTTCCCTTACTCATCTCCCTCTCGCGTTCACTTCCTGACTTCTCTCCCTCTCTTCTTCATCTCATTACTTCTCTCCCTTTCCCAATCCCTCTCTTTATTCATCTCCCTCTTCTCTCCTTCCCTCTTTTGATTCCTCTCTCCCTATACCTCGCCTCATTCCTCTCCCCCTCCCTCTTCCTCACCTCCATTCTCTCCCTCTTCCTTTCCTTCTCTTCTGCCCTTCCTACCAATCCCTCTCTTTATTACTCTCCCTCTCCTTCCATCCTCCTCCTCTTCCCTTCCCCCTTCCTCCTTCCTCCTTCCTCCTCCTCCCGAAGCCTCCAAGTGGAAGTCTCGGGCCGGAGCATCCCTGGGTGGCGGCGCATAAGGTCTGCTGTAACAATAATCAATAGTGCAGGCAGGTCGCAGCCACACACGGCCCCCCCCCCCCCCACTTTCCCCCTCCCTCCCACTGCCCTCCTCACTCCCCTCGCCCTCTCCCCTCGCGCCCACCCTCCCACCCTCCCTCCTTCCCCACCTTGCCTCCATCTCTCTTTCCCCTCTTCCCCCACCCTATCCCTCCACACACACACACACACACATTTCCCCTCTCTTTCGTTCTTATTCCCCATCCTCCCCTGTTTTTACCTATTTCTCTAATACATACCCTTCCTTTCCTCTCTCTATATTCTCCTCTTCGCTCTCTCCCTCCTCTCTTTTTCTCTTTTCTTCTTCTCTCTCTCTCTCTCTCTCTCTCTCTCTCTCTCTCTCTCTCTCTCTCTCTCTCTCTCTCTCTCTCTCTCTCTCTCTCTCTCTCTCTCTTCTCTTCCTCCTCGCCACTCACCCCTCTCCCCCTCTCCTCTCCTCTCTTCCCTCTCTCTTCTCCCCCCCCCCCCCGGCTTTCGCCCACGAGACCATCCCATCCCAGACGAGCCCGCGGGAAGGGCCCGAGCAGCGCCGCCGTGGCATAGTCGCCTCAACCCTCCATTCATGGGCGAGTTGTCAAGGGAGGGCCCGGCCGCCCGCCACGTGTGAGGGAGACGGAGGGAGACGGAGGGAGAGGCAGGGACATGGAGCGGGAAAGGGGAAGAGGAAGGGAGGGAAAGGGGGATAGGCAGAGGAAGGGAGAGGGAAAGGGGGATAGGCAGAGAAAGGGAGAGGGAAAGAGAGAGAAGAATGGAGGGAAAGGGGGGGAGGGGAAAAGGAAAGGAGGATAGGCAGAAAAAGGGAGAGGGAAAGGGGGAGAGGGGGGAGGGGAGGGAGGGAGATGCAGGTAAAAGCAGGAAGAAGTGGGAGAGAGGGAGGGGGGAGAAGGAGAGGGAGAGGATGAGTGGAGAAGGCTTCTACGAGGAACGGGGGGGAATGGGGGGGAAAGGGGAGAATAGGCAGGGTGTGTGTGTGTATGTGGGGGGGGGGGGGGGGGTGGCGTCGTTTGGGAACCACGTGAAAACTCTCCCCTTCTTCTCGTCCCACTCTTCTTCACACCAGTCCTCCTCATCCCACCATTTGAAAAATATTTTCCTCCCTTTCCCTCTTCCTTTTCTCAACAACCACACCCGAAACCCGTATTTTTTTCTCCCTCTTCTCTCTTTTCCTCCTCTCTTCTCCCCCCACCCCCCTCCTCCTCCGAAACGCTTCCCATCCCATCCCTCATCTCCATCCCTTTCGTCCCCCAACCCTATCCCTCTCTTTCCTTCCACCTATCCTATCTCCCGGCGACTCGTTCACTGCCGAAAACACAATTCCGGAACGATGAAACAATGAATGATAAAATCACAATATAAGCTATTCCAACTTGTTCTGAATATTTTCCGGCGTTCGTTCGACTCGTTCGCAAAACGTTTCCACTCTTTTCTTTCTTTCTCTCTCCTCTTCGTTCATTTTCTCTTCATTACCTTTTTCGCAATTTTTCATTTTCTTTTCTTTACTTCTTCCGTTTTTCTTTCTTTCTTTACTTCTGCTTTCTGTCTTTTCCTTCTTTATTGCTGTGACTTTTTCTTTCATTTTTTTATTTCTTTGATTCTATTCATTGTCCCTTCCTTTCTTTCGCTCCATTCTATTTCCAATCACGAATACAAGAGGATTTTTTAACAAAGTCAGGTAAAATACGGAACAGGATAACGTTCAGTTATCTTGACGGAACAGGATAACTGAACCAAACAAGCTAGTTCAATACAAAATTATGGCAATGGTGATGCTAATCATACAATAAACGCCATTGACAAAGAACAACAACAGCAGCAACAACAATAATAATAATAAATAATAATAATGGTATATAATAATAATAGCAATAAAAATAGTAACAAAAAAGAAATGACAGTGAGATTGGTAATGACAATGATAACGAAGACGATGATTACAACGATAACGATAATTATCAAAATC